GATGTTCACATCTTGGACAGGGAGGAATGCTGGTTTGAGCGTGGCGTCAAGGAGGCCATTTATGAATCGAGGAGGGGGCCTGTTGCCATCTTGCAATGCTGTGATTGCAGCCATTCCCCAACTCTCTGTGAATGGTGTAAATTAGGCTTTATTCATGTAGTGTTTCATGTCCACTTTGAACCAGTACCCACCAGATGGTAGCAAAGTACAGGATGGATCCTTTGAAGTCAGAGAGAGAGAGCGTGGCTTTACAGAGAACGTTGGTGCTGTTGTGATGCTGCTGTATGTGAGTATGTAATGTTTCTCTGCAGGAAACCTTCTCATTGCTCTTCACATTTCCTCCCTGACAGATGACATGGTTCCTCCAAAGGACATTGAGAAAATGGCACAAGCAGTTTTGAGAATCGAGCTCCCACAGTCACCTGCTAACATCCAGTCCATGATCAGTAACGTCAACAATTTGTTGAAAAATGCCACCAGATTCCTGGAGGACTTAAAGAACCTGGACAAGCAAGCCAAGCCAGCCATAGACCTGCAGCAGGAAGCTTTGGAACTCAAGTCAGTGCTGAGAGCATAAAAATGACATAAAAGTTTCATTCAAACCAAAAACTTTAAACTAGAAACTATAAATGAAATACAACCTTTAGCCTAAAACAGGGGTGGGGGTGCTCCAGGCCTCAATGGCCAGTGTCCTGCAGGTTTTAGAAATGTCAGCTGATTTAAATGACCTCTGATAGCTTTATCTAGGCACAAACCTATTGCTGCAACAACCAAGACAATCCACTACAATGGCAAAAACAACAAACCAGACACCAGAGCTATTTGTGTGATCTCGCGCATGAGGGAGGTGACCGGGACGAGCGCTGTTCCTGCCGCTCAAACCCCAGTCACTATATGTCCTGTGCTGACCCCGGGTGCTATCTAAAACCTCCAGGACACCAGCCCTTGAGGCCTGGAGTTGCCCACCCCTGCCCTAAAACCACCATCAGCTGCAGTCCTGCTGACATCCAGCAGAGGCTCCAGCAGTGAGTCATCCCCATGTTAAGACTAGGGATGGGTATCGTTTAGGTTTTATCCGATACCGGTGCCAAAGCAGTACTTTTGAAACGGTGCCAGTGCTTAAACGGTGCTCGAACCGGTGCTTAAAGAATGGAGAATACAAACTTTGTCCAAAAATCTCTTATGTTATTATTTTTAGCAGTCTCTTTTTTTCTGCAAAATGATAACCAGGTTAGCCTTTTCTGTTGATACAACATATCTCCTTTGGTTGGAACCGGTGCTTAAACAATGGAAAACACAAACTTTGTCCTAAAACTTCTCCTGTTTGGCTGGGGTTTTTTGTAAAAAGATAACAATGTTAGCCTTTTCTGCAGCTATAGGGCATATATGGTATCACTCTATCAAACAAGAAGACAGCCGCATGTAGCTATGATG